CCCCAAAACCCCAAAACCCCAAAACCCCAGAGGTATTGAAGAGAGACTTATCAAGAAAATTTCCAATTCAAATTATAATTAAACATCAATATCTTTACTTAAAGAATATACAACTACTATGAGCTTAGCATTTGACGAATACGGAAGACCATTCATTGTTATCAGAGAACAAGACAGAAAAAAGAGAACAAAGGGTCTCGAAGCCCACAAGGTAAGACTTAGTCTATGATATCTAAACATTTCTGAGTATTCTCTGAGAACTATTTGAAATTTCTAACTTTTTTCTTTAGGCAAACATCCTCGCTGCCAGAACTGTCGCCAACTTGATGAGAACCTCTCTAGGACCTAAGGGTATGGACAAGATGCTCGTCAGGTAATAATAGTGAAATTTAATTCAATTTTAGCCCAGACGGAGATGTTATTGTTACCAATGACGGCGCAACCATTCTTGATAAAATGGAGGTAATATTTAAACCCATATTTACTCATTTGATAATTAATATTAAAATATTAACTAGGTTGAGCACCAAACCGCCAGATTGTTGGTTGAACTCTCAAACTCTCAAGATAATGAAATCGGTGATGGTACCACTGGTGTTGTAGTATTAGCTGGAGCTCTCCTTGAGCAAGCCCAAAAACTTTTGGACAAGGGTATTCACCCACTCAAAATTGCTGATGGTTTTGAGAAGGCTTGCGATATCGCAGTCCTCAGAATTAACGACATCCAAGAGGAAGTTAACATCGAAAAGCACGATCACGAATTCCTTAAGAAGTGCGCTATTACTGCCCTCGGTTCTAAGGTTGTTAGCAAATGCCAAGACTTAATGGCTGATATTGCTGTTAAGGCAGTCCTCGCCGTTGCTGATCTTGAGAGAAGAGATGTTAACTTCGATCACATTAAGATCATTGCTAAGACTGGAGGAAGTTTAGAAGACACTAGCTTCGTTACCGGTATCATCCTCGATAAAGATTTCTCTCACCCACAAATGGAAAAGGAAGTAAAGGACGCTAAGGTTCTTATCCTCACTTGCCCATTCGAACCACCCAAGCCAAAGACCAAGCATGGACTTGAAATCAAGTCAGCTGCTGACTACGAAAAGCTATACAAAATGGAACAAGACTATTTCACCGATATGGTCCAAAAGGTCAAGGCCTCAGGTGCCAATCTTGTTCTCTGTCAATGGGGATTCGATGACGAAGCTAATCACCTACTGATGCATCACAAACTTCCAGCCGTTAGATGGGTTGGTGGTGTCGAGATCGAGCTTTTAGCCATGGCCACTGGTGCCAGAATCGTCCCAAGATTCGAGGAAATTACCCCAGAGAAACTAGGAAGAGCCGGTTGCGTTAAAGAAATCTCTTTCGGTACCTCTAACGATAAAGTTATTCTTATTGAAGAATGCTCAAAGACCAAGGCAGTCACAATTTTAATCAGAGGTGGCAGCAAAACTATTTGCGACGAGGCCAGAAGATGTCTTCATGATGCACTATGTGTAGTAAGAAATATGATAAAGAACAACAACGTTGTCGGTGGAGGTGGTGCTACTGAACTCGCCTGCTCAATTGCTGTTGGTAAAGAAGCTGACAAAATTAAGGGTGTTGAACAATATGCCGTGAGAGCTTTCGCTGATGCTCTTGAAGAGATCCCACTAGCTTTAGCTGAGAACTCTGGTTACAATCCAATCGAATATCTAAGCAAGATCAAGAAGGAATAAAATTCTGAGGGCAACCCATTCATCGGAGTTGACGCCTTAAACAAGGGTACCACTAACATGATGGAACAAGGAGTCGTTGAGTCAGCAGCTTCCAAGAGAAATCAATTAGAACTCGCAACCCAAGTTGTAAAAATGATCCTCAAGATTGATGATGTTATTGCCCCAGCAGACTACGAATGAAAGGTACCTTTATTATTTTAATTCAAATTAATATATATTAGTTATTAAAACACTCCTTTTGAATCTTAGCGGGGTTTTGGGGTTTTGGGGTTTTGGGGTTTTGGGG